TCCTGGGTTTGTTTGCAATCCTTGGGTTTTTTGCAATCCCTCGCTGGAATCGGCGGTACGCCGCCGACGGATCGGCGACAGGGTCCGATCGCGAGACAGTGCGCTCCCGGGCGGGCTTGGCCGTCGGGCCCAGATCGGAGCTCGGTGGGCGGTGGCGGGTCGATATGCGTCCCCTCCAGCGGTGGCAACCAGACCCTCGCAGGAGGCCCAAGAAAACGAACACGAGGAAAGGGCAAAATTGGAAATTCTGAAGAAACGAGGAAAGGGCAAAAAACGAGGAAACGAGGAAACGAAAACGAGGAAACGAGGAAACGAGGAAAGTAATTCGGTATCGGAAATTAGGTTGTTCTTCCCCCGAATACCCGCTATCAGAAGGTAGCAGTCGGGAGCATCCCTATTCACCAAAGGCCCTTTTAATGGAAGCGTGTGGGGCACTCAACGTGTGCGCGCGGCACCGCATTTCGAATACGCCCAGGCGGAATCACGAATCGACGGCCGAAGCACAACCGCGTGTATCCGGCGAAACGTGCGTCGATTGGCGAAACCGACGGGGGTCTGCACAGGCACACTCGAATTTCAAGGTCGAGTGAACCCGTGCGGGATTCCTCTGTCGTCTTGTCTGGGGGTGCATTCTGTCAATGCCCGAAATAAAGGGTCGATGTCCCCACCCTTGAGCCGCTCAAGGGCGACGAGATCTATACATCACCACCGCCGCTGGCCAGGCTCACCCTGGGCTCACGAACGGTGTGTACGCTTTCTGGCCCGGCCAAGGAAGCAAACACTCAACTCCTGGTGCCAATGTTGGCCGACCCACACTGTTCAACAGCGGTGGATATGCATAGATTTCGCCGCCCAACTACGGTAGGTCCGCGCGGCGTCGGCACGCGCAAGAAAATGTGGGCACCGCGTCGATCGATCAACCTTGAACGGATCACGGACCCGATCGTTCAAGATCGAATTCCGCCAGGTCCTCTGGTGTTATCGTGTCCATCCGCGCTTCCGCGTCGTCCCATGATTCGGAATTCAACCTGGAACGCCTCCGTTGCCGTCTTGGGAAACAAAAGGTACCGATACCGACATTTCCCGGACCTCTCCCACGGTGCGTTCTGGCCAAGATATCCAAGCGAATCTGGCGGCGACGAGGGACTCCCGGGAGGCTCGAAAGGGGGAAGCGGCGGGAAGGGTAGCGGTGTCGGGGCATTGTCCTCCTCCTGCGATGAACCTACCGTAGCCCCCCCCCTAACGCTGCCCCTGACCTGTACTGCAGGCCCGAAGTCGGGGGCGGCCAAGAGGTGGGTGTCCAAGAGGGGGGGGCGCAAACGATGGTCGGCACGGCGCTGCCCAGGGGCGAGAGGGGAGAGGGCCAAGGACGCACTGAAGTAAGACAAAGCGCCATGACATCTGGGGAGATCGCCTGGCCCCCGCCATGTGATCCACCTTGGAAGTGAAAGGCGCTCATGATTACATTGAAGGAGCTAGTTGATAAAGAAACGAACCTTTTAGTGAAGGGAAGGGTTGTTGCTTTATTGCGCGACAACCGCGGCGGCGCGTCCGAATTGCCGAGCCACGTCCTACGCTCGCGCCCTGGCTCTCCTGTCAAAGAGCATATACAACTCGCTGAAAACATGTCCAAAAGGCAGCCGCGACCCGATGCAACGCGAACCTCACTACTCGAGCAAATGCATCGCGGGGTGAACTGGCAGGAAAAACAATGCCCCCGACCCCCGACCGGGACCTGAACCCGCATCACCACCGCATCCCCAGGGCTTTCCCGAGGCAGACCGCGGACCAATACATTCCGAAAAAGTGTTCTACTAAAGCGACAAGGAAGCTTGAGTAAAGGGGAGGGACGGCTGGGGCAGAACTGCGCGCAGAAATTTCGCCCCTCCCATAAAATCTGGCGCGGGACTCCAGGAGCGAGGGCAAGGCGCAAGTTCGCCCGTGGGCCCGGGCGCCGTCGCCGCCGTCGCCGCGATGTTCGTCGTCGCCGCCGTCGCCGTTGCCGCCGTCGTCGTCGCCGTCGGCCCAGGCGCCGCCATCGTCCATCGTCGTTGCCGTCGCCGCGACGCCCGCACATTCACGTTATTACCAGGGAAGGGTCGCGCGCGACCTCGCGCGCGCCACTCCGCTCGCATTTCCGCTCGTCCGACGGGGACCCAGCGCGGACATCATGTTTTGATTCCACCCACGACTCGTTTCAAGTAAGAAAAAAAAACGCCTCTGATCCAGCCCCCCTCCCTAGTAATCACTCCCCTCGTGGCTGCCCCCGACACCCCCCCGAACGCTGCCCCATGACCTGTACTGCAGGCCGGAGGGCGTCTCCACGAAGCCCTCGCGGGCCCGCGCCCGCCCGGGCAGCGCCGCTCCCGCCGCGCCCTGCAGCAGCAGCGCCGCGGCCACCCGCCGCGGTGCCGCGGCCCGCGGGGCGCCGCCGCCGCCCGCGACGAAGGCGCAGAGCGGCCCGCGGCCCTGAGCGTCGCTGAACTCAGGTCGGGCACATCCTCCTACAGCCGGATGTTGGGCGAAGTCGAACAACATATTCAAACATAGTCGAACAAAATGGTGAAAACATCGTCCCCAGACTGTTGTGCGACTATGGGGTGTTCCTCCTGTAGAGGGACATGCCCGACTTAACGCTTAACCGGTCCCTATCACCAGTGGCGTGGCCTGAGCCCTGCAGTATGTGTTTCTCATCGTACTTTTCAAGGAGCACATCCCAGAAAGAAATGGCGAGCACCCTGCAAAGTATCGGGCCAGCGGAGGACCTGACACGAGAAAGCTCCTCACAGATTGGTACCTTCCATGTGCTCGAGACTCTTCCTTGCGATCAAAGCTTAAAGCAGGTCGGAACATCCTGAGCCCTGCAGTCAAGACTGCTGGGAAGGATGCGCGGCCAGGGGCCCCGAGGGCCCATGACGCAGCTTTTCGAACGGGGCTGGCCGTCGAGGGTGGTTGAGGATGGACTTAAGTCGGGCCTGGCCCCCCCCCCCCCACAGGGAGGTTCTGGACGGGAAAAAAAAAACTAGAAACAGATCCCCGAACGGCCAAAACATACTAAACTCATCGTCCCCATAATATTCCCCCGGTAGAGGGACAGGCCCGACTTAAGGATGGACCGAGGAGGCAAGGGTGCAAGGGGTCCACTAGGCAGGGCTGGACCTGGACGTTGTTTTCGTGTTGTGTTCGCTGTGCTTGTCGTTTTTGCCCTACCTGTGTTCCTGTACCTCCCGCCCAAAACGAACAACAAAACACAGCCGAAGTCCAGCAAACAGCGTTTAGGTCCGGCCCTGCCACTTGAGTTGGGCGTGGCTAAATGGGGGGGTCACAAATGGGGGGGTCAGAAAAGGTCCCCTTTCGTGCCCCTTTCGGGCCCCTCCAGAGCCCCAGGGGGCTCGTTTAGGTACCGTTTGGGTACCTTTTCGGACCACCCTCGCCACCCCCCCATTTATGACCCCCCCATTACGCGGCGCCCAATTGAGAAGGTCACCCACCCACCCTTCCGGCTACACGTAAGGGGGCGACCCTCCGCGAGAGTGACCTCTGGTGCGCGGCTTGCGGGCCGTTGCGTGCGGTGCGACGGTGGCGGCCTGCGTGCTCGGGCGTGGCCCTGCAGCGCCTTCCGAGAGCCGCGCGCCAGAGGGCACTCTGGCGAAGGGTCGCTTTCGTGCAGCCCATCCCTGCCATCGCTTTCGACTGCAGCCGGTCCCTGTCGCCACTTGCGTGGCTTGGGCCCTACAAGAGGAGCTCGACCACAAGAGACCGTCCACAAGGAACCCTGCCCTGAAACCCAAGGATGTCCACTGACTTTTGGTGTGGGAGCGTCACGCTCTCCATTAGCGAAACCATCGACATCTAAGAGACCCACCCAGGGCACCCTGGAGGCAAGCAGGCTGTGTGTGTGATAGTGGGGCTTAGAAATTAGATTACATGGCCCGCGGCCTCAGAACAAGGAAGGACGGCACCACCACCACTACACCCAGCACCACCACACCCATACTCACCACCACCACCACCACCAGGCACCCCCAGCGGGTGGAGCCAGGAGGGTCCCCCAGGTGGTGTGGTACCCCCCTCTCGCTTGAGACATCCCGTGTCCCCAGCTCGGAGAGACATCGTGGACCTCCTCGCTGAAGTGGCCGCCCTGGTGGTGGTGGTGTCGCTTCTCCTTCCCCCGACTGGGGAGACCAACAGGTACCAATACCGCCACTCCCCGGACCTCTCCTGGGGTGCGAAGCCAGCGGTGACGACGAGGGCCTCCCAGGAGGCCCCCAAAAAGGGAGAACGGCAGGAAGGGTAGCGGCAGAGGCACCTTCCGCTCCTCCCCCCGACGGCCCCGCCGCGCCTGGCAGCCCGCGAGGGCGGCCGCCAGCGCGGCCGCCAGCGCGAGCGCGGCCGCCCGCTGGGCGCGGCCGCGGGGGAGCCGGGCACTCGTCATGTGCCGGGCTCGGGGCTTCCAAAACGGGGGTTTTAGCTAAACGGGGGCTTAGCCTTTTTCATGTGCCCCCGTTGACTGTGCCCCCGTCTACGGCGCCCAGGGCCCCCTCAACGGGGGCATAGCCAAGCGTGGAAATCGGCGTTCCCCGTGCCCCCCTTTGCTGTGCCCCCGTCTCTGGCGCCCTGCCGGGAGCCGGCCGCGCCGCCGCCTGCCGCAAGAGCGCGCCCAGCGCGGGGCGGCGCGCAAGGCCCCGGCTGGCCGCTGCGTGCGCGCGCGCCGCGGGCTGCCTCCTCCTCCTCCTCCATCCTCCTCTTCCTCTGCGCTGCGCGCTGCGGGTACTATCATTGTTGTCCTTCTTTGTTGTTGAATGCTCTTTTCTTTTTTTACTATCTAAAAGCTGTATAAACTTCTCGATGTATGCCTGTCATCCTTGCGCCTGGGCCATGGCAACCTTCCCTGAATCGTTCCGAATTTAATGGATGACTCCCGAAGGGCATCCTGGGACGAGGGTGCTGTCACGATGCGGCTGACTCAGGATGCGCTTCAAGAATTCCTGGGCGTATGGCGGCCCTCGTTGCCTGCAGACCGCAAGGAGCATCAGGGCATCCTGGAGTAAAACAGGGTTAGGATCGGGATGAATCGCTCCAGAGCGTTCCGGAGCGCTCTCAGAGCGTTCCGGAACGCTCTGGAGCGGCCGCGGCGCCCAACGCGTCCTCCACACCCGCCGATTCTCAGAGAGTTCGAGTTATATCCCGATCCGATGTTGTCCCGATCTCCGCGTCGTTTTAGGGAGGCCCTGGAAAAATCTGGGAGCGTCTCCTTCTCTTGACCCCTCCGCTCCCCCGGCCCGCTGCCCCCGCAGGCAGCGCGTCGGGGCGCCGGGCGGCCGCGGCCTCCCCTGAGGAGCCCTGGCGCGGCACCTTCTTCTCACAGCGGGCTCCTGCGCCCGACGTCGGGCCAAGGGACCATCCAAAACGACGCGGAGATCGGGACAAAATCGGATCGGGATAGCTCGAAATCTCGGAGAATCGGCGGGTTTGGAGGATGCGTTGGGCGCCGCGGCCGCTCCAGAGCGTTCCGGAACGCTCTGAGAGCGCTCCGGAACGCTCTGGAGCGATTCATCCCGATCCTAGCCCTGTTTCACCATCGCAGACAGATCCGGCTCGAACATTCGTGACCTCCCGCGGCGCTGAATCTGTCCCAAGGGGGACGGGGAGCGCAAGACTGCACGGTCCGGCAGCCCCTTCGCCCGAGGCTGCCTCTCGCGTTTCTTCAGGAGCCGTGCTCTCGTGACAGTGCGGGCTGCGTGGAGGAGGAGGAGGAGGAGGAGGAGGAGGAGGAGGAGGAGGAGGAGGAGGTTTTCTCAAAACGGCCACGGCCACGGCCAGGACCCCTTATGCAGACAGCGAGGTGCACCGGGCCGTGCTCTCGCCCGTCCTCCTCCTCCTCGGCCCGCCTCTGCACCTCTGCCGCCGATAGGGTGCCTAACTGCCTCGCATGTTCGCCGAGGTTCGGACCCCAGGACCATATCGCAGTTGGATCCGGCACGAAAAACTACCTAGAATAATTGAGTCTAGGGCTCCGGTCGTGACGTTCCGCGATGTTCGCAACGACGCCCCGACTCTGGATCCGCCGTACTTTGCTCGTAGCTGTGTCGGATGTGCACCCCAAACGATGCGAACATGCAGGGCGGAAATCCCTTCGCCTCAAGAAAATATGGGTGATAGGTCGCGGACGCATGGCGGAAACAGCGACGGCAGGGTAGGGCGGAGATCGAAACCAGAAGAGCTTGAACAGTGGGGCGGACGTTTCCGCCATACCTCTAGGTCGGGCATATCCTCCTACAGGCGGATTTTGAAGGAAGAATCACAAATAGTTTAAAGCATGTTTAAAACATCGAAAACAATTAAACGATCGTCCCGACAGGGACACGCCCGACTGAACCCTACTTGGGACAGCGTCCAGAGTACCGCAGGCTGCTGTCGTGCCGACCCCCCGCGCTGGTGCCTGTCACCGCGGGGATCGTCGCACCATTGAGCCGCTTCCGCCAGGTCCGATCGTTCAACATCGACCGATTCTGGGACGCCAACTGACTGTGTCTCGGGTATATCCCGGGGATCGGGATAGGGATGGCGATGGGGATAGGGATCGGCTCAGCGATGCAGATTCTGAGGAAGTTCATGTTTCTTTGGGGAAGCTTCGAAAACTTCTCAGAAGGCCAGATGACTTCCGAGCCTTCTGTGGATGCCCGCCCCCTCCGCAGTTCCCCCAAGGCACGCCACCGAATTGGTAAAGGGTAGGGATTCGAGGATCGGGGTTCGAGGCGTTCGGACGGTTTAACCGTTTCTCAGCAGTTTTCGAACGGCCGCTGGAGACCCGAGTCAAGGCCCGAAAGCCAGACGGAGAGGATATCTCGGGGCGGACGAATGTCGGGGGAAGGAGAAGCGAAACCACCACCAGGGGGACCACCTCCAGCAAGGTGGTCCACAACGCCTTCCCGAGCTGGTGATCGGGGGTATCTCAAGCGAGCGAACCTAGTTTGCTCTACCCTTCTCATTTCCCACTGCCATCTCCCACCCGGCCGCCCGTTTCATTCCGTTTCATCCTTCCTCGCATCCCTTCCACCATCCATCCTCCTCACCTGTCCTCCTCGTCCCAAACGTCCTCCATCTCATTGAATATGCGTGATTAACTCCTCCCCCAGGCGTGTCGGTAGAGCGGGCAAGGCATTTCGCCTGAGACGTCCTCCTTGCCCTGAAGCTAACAATCTGCAACAGGATAGAAGCGACGGTGATGTTCAAACTGGAGCCCTCGCCTCAACACAACGCAAATTCGTCTTACATGGTTGCCCAAGCTTCAAGGATGGAGGGGGCTCGTTGTCAAAATGGAGCTCTCGCCGTAGCACCGTGCACACTTACGAGGCGGTCCCTTGTTGTTCAAATGAGTCACTTGGCCTGTTACCGCGCACATCCCCTTTACAAGCGTGCAACCAATACACCGATTCAGGACGGCTCCTTCTCAAAAACGGGATGTCGCTGAAAACTTCCCTGAGTTGCTGCACGGATGGGGGGCGAGTCCTTTTCAGCATGCGTCCCTCGCTTGAAACTTCCACGAAATTAATGGTCAAGAGCGTGACCTAAAGCAGCAGCTTCAAAGGCGGGGGTCTCGCTTTGAACGCCTCATTGGAGCGTGTTGTATGATCAAACCTGTTCGCTTTCCGTATTACCTGCTCCTCCTCCTACTCCTCCTCCTCATCCTCCTCCCTTTCCTCTTCGTCGTCGTCCTCCTCCTCCTCAACCTCCTCCTCCTCCCCCTCCTCATCCTCCTCCCCCTCTCGTATCCATTGTCGTCACTCCCTTCCTCTTCTCTCCCCGTCTTGCTTTTCCTGCTTCGAACCACTCCTCATATCTCCGTCCCTTCCCCTCGCTCTTCCAGAGCCTCCTGGGCCGGGGAGGGAGTCTGGGCATGGGGGTGGAGCAGCTGTCTTCGACAACTCAGACTGCCCCGGCCCTGTTGGCCAGGGGTGGTTGCGGGCAATACGTCTGTCCATATTACTGCAGCTTTGAGTATCGGGCTCCCTTCACCAAAAAACCGAGACGCACTGGATATAGAAAAAGATCTGGCCCCTAGAGTCTCGATTTGTATCCATATCCAGTGCGCCTCGGCCTTGATGCGCCCCTTCTCAGAAAACCCAAGACGCAATGAATATGGATTTAGATCCGCCGATCCGGCGTGTGAGTTTCTGAGAGCGTGGACTTGAGCTCGCTCAAGCTTCGCTCTGCCGGGGGGGGGGGGGGGCACCATTCCCGACTGATTCAGTGCTAGGGGGCGGAGGGGCCCCCAGGCCACCAAGAAACCCCAAGGAGGCTCTGGAAAGGGGGGGGAGGGGGACGCCATTCCCGAAGCCTTTAGTGCTCGGGGGCGGGGGGGGCCCACAGGCCCCCAAGAAGCCCCCAGGAGGCCCCAGAAGGCCCCCAAGAAGCCCGAAAGAGGCCCCAAGAGGCCCCAAAACGACCCCCAAGAGGCGTCCCCACGTCCCTTGGTCAATTCAAGGCTGAGGATTCTCACTGGGCCCAGACCCCAAGCTCTCAAATCTCTTGAGGCTCCCCGCGCGCCCTCTGGGGCCCGCACGCATTACTTTTTCGAGCACAAGAGAGGCCCAAGACGGGCCAACAGGGCCCCAAGAGGCCCTCAACATGGCCCAAGAAAGCCCCGAAGCACCGAACGCTCGGTCCAAGACGCCCAAGATGGCCCCACGGCCATCATCATCATCATCATCATCATCAGAATCATCAGAATCATCATCATCATCATCATCATCATCATCATCATCATCATCATCATCATCATCATCATCATCATCATCAGCATCATCATCATCATCATCATCATCATCCTCATCCTCATCCTCATCCTCATCCTCATCCTCATCCTCATCCTCATCTTCATCCTCATCCTCATCCTCATCATCATCATCATTATCATCATCAGCATCATCAATCATCATCATCATCATCATCATCATCACCATCACCATCATCATCATCATCATCATCATCATCGTCATTATCGTCATCATCATCAGCATCATCATCATCAGTATCATCAACATCAGAATCATCATCATCAACATCATCATCACAATCAGCATCAGCATCATCAGCATCATCATCATAATCATCATCATCATCAACAACATTATCGTCATCATCAGCAGCATTATCCAGAGCGCCCCGGATCGACGGCACTGGCCAGGGGCCAGCACAATATTGCCCGCAATGGTTGCGTCGCTTGTGCTTGAAAAGAATCCGAACGGATCTTTTCTCCCGAGACCATTCTCGGCCGCTTCCGCTACAAGCTCTGTCCAAACCTCCTGTCGGTCGGGGAGCGGATCCGGCTAGCAAGGAAGCGGCTTCTCTGGGAGTCAGTGGGGGGAAACCACGCTTGAAGTATCCCTTTGCTCCCCAGTTCGATCCAGCACGGTGTCGCTGTCCCCGAGGCCCTCTTCTGGCCATCTCCGACTCCTCAGCCTGCCCTGGCCTGTCATGGGTCTTGGGAGACTGGGGCGACTCTGGACGGCGAACGGATCCGGCTGGTTACCGCCGACCACGCGGGCAGGCTGCGGTATGCACTGCGTGGACTGGCTGCATGACCCCCGGGGCGGATCCTTTTAGAGCTCCTTCCTTGCATCCGCGCCTGGGCGGCCTGGGGCCTTCCGGGTGCTTGGATGTTCCCCCCCCCTCCACCTGTTTCATCTACGGCAGGTTCGTGTCGTGCCGACCCCAGCGTTGGTTTTTGACACCGCAGGGATCGTTCAACCTTGAACGATCGGCCGCTGCCGCAACGTCCGATCGTTCAACATCGATCGATTCTGGGTCGCCGGCGGCGTTCAACCTTGAACGCCCGCGCTGGGGTCGCCGCTGGTCGACACGACGCAAACCTACCGTAACCTCAAGATCCTGGAGACAGCTGGAGAGGTCGGGCCCCCTCCATCTCACCTCCTGCCTGCCCTCCGGCCGCTGTCCTCGCAGCGCCCGGCCACTCCTCGCACACAGCGCCCGCCATCCAACATGCTCCGTCCTCATCCTCCGCCTACCCCTTCCATCTTTTCTATTCTGTCATCCACCATCTCTTCCTTCTTCCTGCCTCCCTCTCTCCCTCCTTCCTCATCTGACGTCATCTTTCCCCCCTCCCCACTCCTCCCCTCCTCCCCCGCATCCTGCTTGAGATCATGCTACAGGTCAAGATTCTCATACTCCTGCTCAACATCGACTTCCCTCCATATTATTTCTCCTACCTCCCTCTTTTTTATAGATGTGTTCGTCGATGGGGCGGGCTGGGCGTGTTGCCTGACACTTCCTCGCCGCTTGTGGCGTTGAAATTTGGATTCCGCCAATAACCACACGGGTGGAGGGTGGGCGGCTTTCACTATGCGGCTCTCGCTTAAGCGCCACGAACATGTGTCATCCAAGTTCACAGTATCTACGCGGACGGATGGAATACACAGTGTTCAAATGTGGCGTTCGCCAGAGCGACACGCGCCATCGGCTTTAACAGATCGAACAGGCAGATCTAGAGCACCTTACCTTCAACATGAAACTATACTCGCAACGCACCTGACACTTGCCCAAACAATCCCACAACTACACCGATGGTGCGCGTTGTTTTGCACGGGGGACGTTGGTTTTGTGGGTCAACTCGGGGCCCTCGCTTAAGGACTCCTCGAGCGCTGTGGCTTCATCAAATGTACACTCAGTCAATTCGACGGACGGGGGATGGCGGATCCGTGTCCAAACGGGGCTCTCGACTGATTGACAGCCCCAGTGGGCGCTTTTCAATTTGTCATGCAGCATAGTGAATGCATCGTCGGTCTGCTGTGGTCATCCACCTTCGCCTCCTCCTCCTCCTCCTCCTTCTCCTCTCCTCTTCCTCCTCCTCCCACACCATTCACCCTATTTCTTTATATATATACCTCCTCGCTGTCGTATCTCCAAACTTGTCAGTCAGTGTGGCGGCCAGGTGGGAGCTCCAACACATTTACGGATGAAAGGCGTGTAGTCTTCAACATGTGATTCTCGCATTAGCGCCGCGAACGCTCGCCTTAAACAGTTCGCCATGTTTTCACACATGGAGGGCCAGTCGATCTCAAAATATGGCTCTCGCCAGTGCGCCGCGCGCATTCGTCGTGAAAGCTTGCAACATGTTCAAGGGTGGATGGAATGTCGTTTTCAAAATGTGGCTCTCGTGTGTGCGCGGCACACATGTGTCCAAACAGCTTGCAAACAGTTTGAAGGATGGATCGCGGGGCGTTTTCAAACTGTGGTTCTCGTCTGTGCGCTTCGCACATGTGTCTTGAAACTTCGCAACAGCTTCAAGGATGGATGGCGGGTTGTTTTCGAAATGTGGCTTCCGTCTGTGCGCGGCGCACGTATGTCTGAAAACTGCTGCAGCTTCAAGAATGGAGAGCGGGTCGTGTTTTAAACGTGGCTCTCGCCTTAGCACAGCGCACATTCGTTTTGGATATTCGCCACTGCTTGAAGGATGGATGGCGGCTCCTGTTCAAAATGTGGTTCTCGCCTCAAGGCCGCGCACATTCGTCGTAAACGCTTACAGAAATCGCACGGGCCCGTATGGTTGAAGTCACAGGAATAGTCTTCTGACACGCTCTAGAATTGTCTGAACGCAACGGTCACGTCGATTCGCATCGTTGACGTCTTCAGGATGGCGCCCAGGCACGACTTAGGATTGCCAGGACGCGACAGCAACGTTGATGTGTGGCGTTGAAATCCGAAAAATGGTTTTCTGACGCGTCTGGAGATTACCAAACGATTGCAATATAATGGGCCACCTCCCGCAGCGAACCCAAAGCACTGTAGACACCTGTGAAGGGGGAGCTTGGAAGGAGGGGTTCTTGCGACATTGGTGATGCGTTTTGGACTTGCACTGGTCCTCCTCCCCAACCTCTGTTAATTTCTTTCGTGAATCGCAAGAAACCTAGGATTCCGCATTTGGCGATCAGCTTTACAGGGCCAGACGGGCTGCAAACTCGCGCGATTCTTCGTCAAGGGCTATTGCTTCTGCTTGGAAAAAACAAGAGCCCTTGACGAAGCATCGCGTGATTTTGCAGCTCTTCTCCCCCTCCCCCTCCTCTGCCCTCCGTCGGAAAAAGACCAGCTGCTCTCCTCTCCCTCCTCCACAATTACTCAATATGAATACTACTCTCCCTCTTCCCCTGATGACGGCTCGAAAGTATCCGACCCCCCCCGCGTACTGTTTTTTACATACAAGTTTCCCCCGAATTGGGTTTTCGCCTGCATTTGTTTCCCAAAATGCCGCTCTCGCTGAGGCGCGGGCCTCACTTTCGGGCGCCGCTCGTTCCGAATCGTGCTCCCGCTGCAACGCTGGCATCATTTCCGCCGGCGCCCGGGCTGCACACCCGAGCCGGCGCCCGGGCCGGCGCTCGGGCCGGGTCTGGCCGGTTCCGGCCGCGCCGCCGGAAAATTGACTTCCGAGTCGGCGTCAAAAAAATGTTATTCTAATACACATTTTTCGTTTGAAAATGCTGAATTTCTGCTTCCGGCGCCCGGGAAGCCTCCCGGGTCGCGATTCCGACGCCCAGGCCGGCGCCCGAGCCGGCGCCCGGGCCGGACGCCCGAGCCGGCGCCCGGGCCGGCGCTCGGGCCGGGTCTGGAGCCGGTTCCAGCCGGCGCCAGAAAATCGATGTCCAAGGCGGCGCCGAAAAAAGGCCATTCCAATACACATTTTGTTTGAAAATGCTGAAGTTCTGCTTCCGGCGCCCGGGAAGCCTCCCAAGCCGATTCCGGCGTGCGTCTGCTCGTTCCGAATCGTGTTCCCGCTGCAGCGTTGGCCTCATTTCCGCGCTTCCGCTCGTTTCGACTCGTGCTCCCGCTGCAGCGCTGGCGTCATTTCCCGTGCCATGCCACGGCATGCAATGCAATGCGATTCGCGGTGCTTTTTTACGCCATGCCATGCCGTGCTCTACAATGCATCGCGTACCCTTTCGGGATCATTGCCCTGCTCGACATCCGACTGTGCGAGTAGAGAGGGGATCTGCGCCATGGTAAGGGATGGGAGGGAGGGGTCGGATGTCAGATATGACGCGAGCGCACCTAGCTTGTCTTTCCACCCTCCTCCTCTTCCTCTCTCTCTCCGACCCAACGCCTTCCAACGAGGCGCCACCGCCTACGCCACCCACTGTGCGAGAGCAGGGTGGTTGTTTATTCCGACAGTGCCCTTCCCATCGAGGCCAGCGCAAATCTCCATCAGCTGGGGCAGCTCGGCGGCAGATTGAGAAGCTTCAAACAAGGCCAGCAGCGGGGACGCGAGGGGCGAGAGAAGCAGACTGACGGGGAAGAGGGACTCCGACAGGGGAGGGGGGCGTGGCCCCGGGCATAACATCATACCCAAACGCATCCTGGTCCTCCCGCCCTCCTGGACGTCCCCCGAGAAAAAGAGAGAGAGAGAGAGAAGGAGAGAGAGAAGGAGAGAGAAGGAGAGAGAGAAGGAGAGAGAGAGAGAGAGAGAGAAAAAAAAAAAAGAGAGAGAGAGAGAAGGAGAGAGCTGTTTCCGCCATCGGGCCTCGCCGCCTCCACCCCCTCCCTCTGATCCCAAGCGAACCCACGGGTTCGCCAGGCGGAGATTAATCCATTTCCACCGCCTGGGGAACCGACATCCTGGGATCCCGGGGGCTGGTGGATATGCACATATTTTGGCCCCAGGGGGCTGGACTATATGTGTGCATCTATTCCTAGTCATATCTGCTACAGGGCCGGGAAGCCCACCTCCCGCGCACCCCCCCCAAACGAATTTCGAATCCTCGGGCCTGTCTTTCGCCTCTCTGCGGCCATCCTGCCCCCCGAGCCAACCGGAAGCGAAAAAGTGAGAAGGCCGAAAACATTGTTGTTCTTGATTGGGCTTTCTTTGATTTTCGACTCTCCGGGCCCTGTTGCGCCAGCCTTGGGCCTCTTTGGGGCTCGTCTGGTGACTCATTTGGAGCCCTCCTGTAGCTATCTCGGCGTCTCAAGAGCTAATCGTAAGCGAAAAGGCGAGAAGGCCAAAAACATAAGTTGTCCCAGGGTTTCCATCGATGTTCAACTATTTGGGCCCTCTTCGGCCAGCCGTGGGCCTCTGTGGGGCTCGTCTGGGGACTCGTTTGGAGACGCCTTCGGGCAATCTTGACGCCTCAAGGGCGGATAGTAAGCGAAAAGGCGAGATGGCCAAAAACATTGATTTCCCCATGTGTGTTCATTGATGTTCCAATATTTCGGCCATTTTCGGACAGCCTTTGGCCTCTGTGGGCCTCGGCTTGCGCCTCTCTGGGGCCATCCTGGGGCTATCGTCGGGGTGGCCACATGCGTCCGCCACACCCAATACAGCGCTTCGTGGCCCCATAGGGAGCTCCACGCGCAAGGCCCCAGTGGGGGTGGCCACATGCGCCCGCCACACCCAGTAAAGCGCTTCGTGGCCCCATAGGGAGCTCCACCCAAGACCCCAGTGGGGATGTCCACATGCGCCCGTCACACCCAGTACAGCGCTTCGTGGCCTCATAGGGAGCTCCACCTAAGGCCTCAGCGGGGGTGGCCACATGCGTCCGCCACACCCAGTACAGCGCTTCGTGGCCCCAAAGGAATCTCCACGCAAGGCCCCACTGGGGGTGGCCACATGAGTCCGCCACACCCAGTACAGCGGTTCGTGGCCCCATAGGGAGCTCCACGCCCCCATTGGGGGTGGATGCGTCCGCCGCACCCAGTACAGCGGTTCGTGGCCCCATAGGGAGCTCCACCTAAGGCACCAGCGGGGGTGGCCACATGCGTCCGCCATACCCAGTAAAGCGTTCCGTGGCCCCATAGGGAGCTCCACCCAAGACCCCAGTTGGGGTTGTCACATGCGTCCGCCACACCCAGTACAGCGGTTCGTGGCCCCATGGGGACCCCACGCAAGGCCCCAGTGGGGGTGGCCACATGCGTCCGCCACACCCAGTACAGCGCTTCGTGGCCCCATAGGAAGCTCCACCCAAGACCCCAGTGGGGTTGGCCACATGCGTC